GTAATGCCATGCCATGAGAAAATAATAGGCAGCGAAAAAAGCTAAACAAATCAAAAGACTCAACATTCTTGTTCTTTTTATTTACTGCCTATTCTTTTTGACGGCGGGACATGTTGCGAAATATAGCTTCCATAATGCTGAGATATTTGCAAAACGACGGACTACAAATGTCTGCGGTGGGGAACGAACGCACTGTTGTCCTTTCCGGAGAGTAACGCGTTCACCACTACACCATGCGGGTCCTTCGTTTTGCCTGTCTCTCAGCTAGTTCTATCGATTTCTCCCATCAGCAATCACCCGTCAGCGAGATTGATCTGGGGAGGACAAATGGGCAATGAACCCAGTTAAGCTGAGGCTATAGTTATTATCACAATCTTAACCGTTTTATTTACTGCCTACTTTTTTTGATGGCAGGGTGTGTTGCGAAATATAACTTCTATAATGCTGAGATATTTGCAAAACACCGGACGAAGAATCCGCATGGTGTGGTGGTGAACGCGTTACTCCCTGGAAAGGACAAGAGCGCGTTCGTTCCCCACCGCAGAGACCTGCGGTCCGGTCATCCGGCCCAGGAAAGGTGACCCGAGAGACCATCGTAGCTATCGTTCAACGTGCTTACGTAGTGCACTAAACAAACTCTCCACGAAAATTGTACTGTCTCGCATGTCAAAGGCACTGAATGAGGCACAACCAGTTGAGCAGTTCGGATCTCGAGAGGAATTTGCTGCATTGACCACATACAAACCATGTCAAACGTCAGGTTTTCGGGAATACTACCAGCCCTTAGCTCGGATTTTTGTCATCTATGAAAGAGCGTTTGACAGCGCAAAATGAATTCAGTCCTAATAGCACTCTTCGAATAGGGAATGGACCCGTTCTACATAGGAACTCTACTTGACTGTTATTGGTTATACACCAAGGGAATAAGTCTAATCCATCGATCTCTTACAACATTTATAGAAATAGGTGTTCGACAAAGCGCCACCCTCTCTCCAAAGCTATTTATTGTCGTACTGTACTACATAATGAAATCATTCGAATGGGACAAATAAGGCATAGATAATAAGGGAAAATTCGTACAAATAATAGCTTAAAATGGTTCGCCATCTTTTCAAAGAGTACCAATGATGCAGAGGTGGTGCTCAATGAGCTCAACAAAGAGGAAAAAAAGAACGGGCTACGCATAAATTGGAAGAGTACCCAGTCCATGAAAAACCAATGGTGCGATGGCAAGCAGGTCAAACCATGTGGTTCTCTAATTACAGAGACCACTTCGTACGTGTAGCTTAAACGTACAATGAACACAAAGAACAACATCATATAGGAAGTAGATGGAAGAAAGGAAGAAAACGTGCACATTCTGGCGTCTCAAAGATATCATCGACGAAGTAAAGCACACGACAATCCGTGCACCTTTTCGGTTCAGCTGTCCTCCAACTACTGTTTTATGCTCCAGGGTCGTGGGCTGATACTTCAACCACGTCCAGAATACTGTGCACTACTCACGAGCTCTTGAACGATGCCTTCTGAAACATAACCAACACACACAACATCTAACTGGAATGCAATGCTCAGATCATCGAAATCTACATGATCTTCGAGATCCAGGAGAACACATCTAGATAGTGAAGTGTAAATGGGCTGGCAATATAATGATAAGAACAGATAACAGATACACGAAAGAAATCGTAGAGTGGTTTCATCGAGTATGTAGGACCTGCTGGAAGGACCACAGACATTTCAAATGTACGTGTTCAAAACTATAATCAACCAGCTGCCTCCCAACGGCTTACCGCATCGTCGTAGCTGGGAGGTATTCCTGGGTGTCGGGCGGTGAAATGCAGGGGAGAATTCATTCACTGCAAGGGTCTCCGAAGCTAGAAGGAGTCCGGCGTTTTACCAGGAAGCCCATCTAAAAATAAATCAGTACCAGGTTCCACCATCGTCCCGGTACCAAACTACTCGCTTGGTGGCAAATCTTCCTCTGATCCACAAAGGTTGTGACTACCTGTGGCTGTGACGACTTGAGGCAGACTTTGGCCAAGGTGGCCAGGTTTCTTTCCTTTAAGTATGTCCGGCACCGCATTTTAGTTGGAGTTATGGCATTGCTATTTTTAGGTAGTCGCAATTGTTTCTGAAAATATCACAGTGGAATTCCATTACTGTTTGTGGTACAAACGCGTCGGGATCGGAAGGCCTTGAAGTGCTACCACGCATCGGTTAGTTCAAACAATGATGCAAATGAAACTGGCACCATTCCCGTTTAACAACAACACAAAGATCAGCAAGAGACCACCCGAGGTTTAAGCTAAAATGGAAAGTAATGTAATCCATCTCTTTTCAGGTTGTTAACTTTGCACGATTTTGCAGTACAAGCTTTATTAGGCTTCCTTTCGTTGTCTTATTTTCATCATATGTTACCCATCAATCTCATATAGGATGCTCGGCTCAACAACCACGTTGCTACTCATACTCCTAATGTGATATTGCCTCAATGGTTTCAATTTACACGGATCAGCGGATAGACGAATGAGTGCACTGTTCTTTGTAGACGAATGGTACTATCGACAACCGGATTGGCGACTAGCAGCCGGGTTGGATGCGTGGGTGGTCATCCATTGCTTCACTTAATAGTGCCTAGCAATACAAAAGCTCTATCGCACATGCGGTAGAGCTATTCAAGCCACCAAGCACCTTGCGACATATTTTGGAATTATTGCGATTATGCGCTGAAAGCGCAATGAAGAGCATATTTTGCATTCCAGTCATTCTTGCTCAGACTTCAATACCTTTTTCATCATATGTAGTCTCGCTAATAATTGAGCAAGTCTAACGAGCACTAGGAAGCTCTTTATTCATCATCCAGCTCCAGAAATGCTCGATAGAGCTCCACCTGCTCTAGGAATATGAGGAATCAGGTTTTTCATTAGTAGAGATGTTCTTTCTTAAGTGCTTTGGTGAGAGACTACCAACGTGAGAAGTAATGTGCTCTTGCGTCGTGGTGTTAGCATACTAAGGATACGCTATGGAATTTTACCAGAGAAGACGTTAGACATGATCTTAATCGCTCGGTGTGTTCGCCGAGAACTATAATTATCGCGTCGGGCCTTTCCTGCTGCTACTTATTTCTGGAACACAGTGAAGGAATTTGCTTCGTAACTGTCGTTCAGCCGAACACGATTTCTCCAGTAAACTTGATATTTGAAGTATTGAAATATGCCAGACTATCGGTCTTCCTCGACACTAAGAAGATATCAAAACTCTTGACTTTTCACACCGTTTTGCTAGAGTGAAATAAAATAACTCCACTTGTGCATTCGAAAACATCGACTGCACTTCTATTCTGATTGTGTAGCGTTGAAGACTCGAGGTGATGCACATAACTGCTTTTTTTGCTTTCTTTACTGTTACATCCATGACCTCGTGAGCTATCTAAGGCACTTCCCTACGGTGTACATTTCTCTCTGTCCAACTTTCTATGTGGTTCACCATACTGACTAGGTATGCATAACTACTGGTGCAATGGAAAATCTTCAGTTCAGTGCCATAAATGAGGAACCAGGAATAGATTAGTTTATTATGAACAACTTTTAGTTCAGCTGCACACGCCAATCAACTTTTTTAAACGAGTTGTTGAAAAGTCTGCTTCTCCTTCCAGTGGTTATCAAAATAATGTCAAGATGATTGTGTTCGACCATGTATAACTCGACGTGTCGTTAATGATGAGGAAGAACTGCTAGCTCCACTGCGTTCATTAAGGCTAAGATAGCAAAATTATGTAGGACAATCACTAAAACAACATAACTAAGAGTTCTTCTACTAGTTCACTAGGTAACTAATGTGTGAGGCTCTTTATAAGCAAAACAGAACCACGGCGCATTTGACGTTTTCTTCATATACTCTATTGAAGTCAAATGAAATTACTCCACATTCATTGCTCGTGAAAAATTGTTGAGGCAGACAAAAATTTTTATCTCTCCTAGTTTTTATAACCCTGATGCGAGATTCGTAAGTGCCAGAATTCAGAAACATTACATCATATTCATTCCGGATTTGAATAACTCAGTTCCACTTGCAGTGCTATGAAACCACAATACGGGGAAAAAGAAACCCCTGAAAGTATTGTCAGCATGAATCTTCTCAACAAAAAGAGATGAAACATTATTAGCCAATTTTGATGGAAACTTAATGACAAGTGAGTTATTTTACACTGTTCTACTAAATGTTTAACAATCCCAAGAGCTACTTCTGCTTAACATTGTTTAACAATCGCTTATTAAAACAGTCCTGGTAAAGCATGGATGAAAAGACAAAATAACTCATGACGTACATGAAAAAGTAGCTAGGAACACCACAGAGGTACAACAAAATTTGCAAGTAATCAATAAGATGAACTAATCACTGCTAGAACGAACAATAGTTGTTCATCTTCGGTCATTATAACAACAATTGGAAAAGTTCGGTTAGAAAGATCACGTATATCACTATTAGAAATTTAATCCTTCTAAAATATCACCGCTCCTTTGTTAGCTTTTTATCTAGACCTTAATAAATAGTGATAATATCAAGAATCATTTCCAATTATAACATAACATTTCCAAAGTGAGAACAAAGTCAACCAGTAAGAGTTGCGGAAATAAGGCGCAAATGGAAAATCCTATAACATGAAATAACGCTATCTGCATATCAATGAAAATAAAGCTATAATCCAGTACTTTGCCGACAACGAGGAGAAAATCGCCGGTCGAGCCTAGTTGTCGATCTGTCGACATCATCCGACCTGCCTGCTTCCCAACTCGTTAGCCGTGCATAAATAACGCTATTACCTGCTTCATATTCCTAACTTTTATTTTCATTCAACTACATTTGATGCTCTTGTTCGACGTATGCAGGTGAAACAACAACTACATCAGTATCAGCAACTTCGTGTTCTCTGACGTCATCACTGAACGACTTCGAATGTACCAGCGTTCTTGACTGAAAGTTGGCAATCTCATTCTCTACTTCAAATCATATCTTGAGTCCTTTAAAATATGATAAAAAAGAGGAAAAAACAAATCGAAATTACACAAAACCTCGCCGTCACTGGTAGACTGCTCATCTTCTTCTTCGTGGCAGAATTCGTTCTCATTTGACGTGCTCTTTGCCCAGCCACGTACTGAAAAGTAGTAGGTTTTGATACTGAAATCCTTTTAGATTTAAAATTAGTTATATTACGTGAACAACAGAAAAATTTCCAATTGAATAAACTGTGAAAGTAATCTACTACAAGTTAATAATACATACTGTGTAATTTCTAAACCACTGCCAAGATGCGCGTGTGGCGCAGTGGTTGGGGGGCCCTGCAACGCACAGATGAAATCGGTCCCCGCGCACAAGGCTAACCAAGCTTTCCATCCCTCCGGGGTCGGCAAATTGATACCAAACTTGTCTAGGAGAATAGCGGCACTGGCTCGACACATCGGTAGGTCACCGCGAGTCATTGTAAAAGCCAGATATGTATTCAATCACCTCCAAACGATTCTTAATAAAGTCGAATGCATGTCGCGTCTCTCAGGGATTGATCAACACAGAGAGCTTTATCCTGTTTTACACTTATTGGCTAGATGCATTAAGGGTAACTGCCTCAGGTGGCGGGCAGATGGCTTTGAAAAACTACTGAAATTTGTACATATTTAACTGAAAACGAACTAAAACATCTAACTTTTGGGGCATATAGCACCTATGAGTACAAGTTTTGTATGCATTGTCTCAAAAAATTTAGTGAACAATAACTAAATGAATATAGCAACAGGAAGAAAACTGTTGTTCTCATAGTTATTATTAAGAACTCAGTCAGAATTACCAATCTAATGCCAACTTCATATTGCTATATTCGCGAATAGAACTCAGTAAAAATTAGACCTTGCCGTCCAATGGATGGTCTTCGTCCGTTTGAATCCTTATCGGAACTGTTCAGTACCGATGCATGGTCAACAGTACTCTCATGAGGTAAAAGTTGCATGGCAGCGCGGAAAAAGTAGAAAGACGGATAGTGCACTAAGTTGTAACAGGAAGAGGCATACAAATCAGCGTATCTGGAAATGCCAAACAAAATTTCCTTTAGGAAGATGTTGATTCTCCTTTTGTACTAGAATAGAATTGCGCTAGACAGCTGAGTCGAGTATCCAAAGACAATCATTGAACCACTTTACATAGATAAGGACATTAAATAATGTAGCGAACATCAAGATATCCTACTCAAAAAAACTGGAAAAATACCTCTCCACCTGGGAGGCAAAGAAAGTGGTCCGTGATCCAGCGCGGAACAGTGATCCCAAAACACCATATTCCTGATCCATTTCGTGCGCAATACTCTAAAAAGACAACTTCAATTGTAATTGTAACCATCGCAGGATTCAACACATTGCATTTTCCACGAGTGGCGAGTGGTCGGTTCATAAATCGCAGAATTCACTGTTTTAATGACGAAACCCGAGTCGCAGAGTATCAAAATTCCTTCACTTCATAAACTACAGGTTAGAGAAAAATTCTTCACGACCAGTAATCAACATAACACCAATGGACGATGGTTACAAAGCAGCAAAATGAATGTACGCATTGGGAACTAAATATTTGCCAGATTGACGATCTAGCTATCAAATGATAGCGGTGGATTGTCTTAAATTGCACCGCAAACTTTTAGTGTTATCGTTGAAGCTAATCTTAGACTTTTATTTCATTACAAACGATATAGGAAGGCCAGAGGATATCAGAAAGGATCAAAATTTCTTTACGTGGAAAAATTCACAAGCGCAAGAAAGCCTACCTTCACTTTTTGAAGGATAGTGTGGATTTGAGGCTTTCTTCTCGCTGTCGCGTCAAGGTTTTTATAGATATCTGCCAAGGTGTTGTCAAGTTCATTGAGCTGCTCGAACAATGGTCGACGATCTGTCCAAACTGTCAGTTCGTGATGCAACTCTGGAACCACCAAAAATGTCCTCCAGCCACGAGATTTCTTTGACCTAAAAGGTACACCTTCACCACTGCCAAAAAATTGGAATTATTTATGGCAAACAAGGTGATAATTCTGCACAAGGCTGCTTCGTCATGACAATCATTAATTTAAATCCAGCACGCTGGAGTCAGTGATGTGCGATTCTGAAGTGAGAAACCGTTAAATGTGCAAATACTAGACCCACTATAAAAAGCTCATATTTTTACATCTTTATCTGAGTTCTTCTATTCTAATGTGTGTTTTGAAACAATGGAAATGTAGGAAAACTGCGATTTCGTTATATTCACAAAAATGGAAGAGAAACGGGAAACGGAAGGAGAAATAGGAAATCCTACCTCAGTACATCTCCAAAGATGTGATCACCAATGTAGAGCACATCTTTGCCACGAGCCTTCACGATTTTATGAAAGGCATCGCATGAGCCTGAAATTCTATAAGTCAGAACCAGATCAAAATACGAAATGTTAAAGGGTAAACGGTTAGTGAATATTATTACCTCCAGAGTACACAACACCTTCCTTCAATGGACCTGTATGAAATCCAAGTTTAACAGCACCAGTGGAAGTATCGACCTGCATTCACTGAATTCAAACTAACGAACACAATGTTCAGAATGATAAAACAAAAACAAAACAATTTTAACTTTTTGTTCACTGTCTATGTGATACAACCACAATAATGCTGAGAAATTTGCAATACTCCGGACCGCAAGTGTCTAAGGTGCGGAACGAAAGGCCCATTACCTTTTATGGAGATCATCGCGTTCACTAACGCACCATCATGCTGGGTTGGACTAGAGCGTCAGCTTAACTGGGTTCACTACCGATTTCAGCTCGCCAGATCAAGGCCGTTGACGGGTGACTGCTGATGGCACTGGTCGACAGAAAACTAGCTGAGAGACAGGCGAAACGAAGGACCTACATGGTGTGATGATGAATGCGTTACTCTCCGGAAAGAGTAATAGCTCGTTCGTTCCCCACCGCAGACAACTGCGGTTCACAGTTTTGCAAAAGAAAAGAAAACGAAACAGCTGTAGTAAACCTAGATACTTAGACAGCTCGTCCTCACTGGGTGTGCGGGCCCCAGCATATTCTCCATTTTTCGGAGTCCTGCTGGTTTAGCCATTGTGTTTCCCTAGAGTCTCGAGGTCAACCTGGCCACTCTGCCCAAAGTTGCAGCAAACTATGGAGAACAAAGCAATCCAATTAATAACGTCAATTTCCGAACGGAAAATAAAATAGCACTTAAAATCCCAAGAACTACGAAGTCACTCGGCTTAAAAAAAAACAAGTTTTTTGTACCATGTTAAAATTTGGTTTGTGTCAACAGCTAAGCATCCAACATAATAATAAAAGCGTTTCTATATTGTTATAACACAGTTAAAGTGCTCTGAAGCTGCCGAAATTTTATTTCCGATTTTTCTGTTAGAATTAATTTTAATGAGTAGGTGATTTTATTTCTCACCCAGACAGACTCTGTTTACTCCAGCGGTGCTATCAGCAATCATTATCGACTGGAATGATCTAGAGAGCACAAATTGTGGATGGCACGTGAACCCTTGGAAAGGGTAATCGCGGATTCAAACTCCAACTGAGGTTTTAAGGTTTGTTCATATCTCAGCATTGTTATGCTTATATTTCACATATTACGCTGCCGTTGAAAAAGTACAGGCAGCAGATAAAAGTCACACATTGTGACATTTCTTATTTTGTCGCAAGAACCACGTTATTTCCATTAACCATTTGTATTTCGGATGGCACACTAAATATCTGGATGAAAGATAAATCAATGAATTAAACAAGATCTCACAGATTTTCCGATAGCAATGGATTAATAAAATAATTTGTTTGTTTTCTATCTCCTTACCCTATACCCTGAAGTGGAACATTGCAGTAGGCAGCAAATAAAAAGTTAACATTATTATTTTAACTAATGCCTCTGCTTAACTGTATTCAGTGCCAATTTGTGCTTCCCAGATCAATCCCATGGACGGGCGATTGCTGATGGCACCGGTAGATAGAAGTAGCTGAAAGACAGACGAGAAGACGGACCCGCACGGTGTGGTGGTGAACGCGTTGGTCCCCGGAAAGGGTAATATCGCGTTCGTTCTCTACCACATAGACATGTAGTGCAGAGTTGCAAATAGCTCAGCATCATAATTATTGCTTTATTGTAAGTTGTGTGCTTGATTTTATAAATGCATAATTTACGATAAATGGCTAGTATCGATATGACAATAGAATCTCGATGTCCATTTTTCAAGGCAAATTTTAGTAGTCGATGTTTATATTATCGCCTGATAGTGTAGTTTGCAGTTATATCCTACTTGAATAAAAATTATCTAGTTTAAGATTATTGTGGAAGGGTGGAATGACGAAAAATGTCATTTATCATCTAATCAATCGTTGATTGGATTCAAAGATCCAATTCTCATGCCCTGGAAACCCATCATTATATCAAAAAATTGTTTTGGGATAAAATACATGATTGTTGACCACCGTTTGATATTCTAGCAGATTTTTCAAATCCAAATCCGTCAACGAATTCACCAGTGAAACGCGAATATGGCCATGATCGTTCATCTCGCCTTTTTTCATAGATTCCAAACATTAGTCTGCATAGTGAGTTGAGCCGAGAAGTCGCCACCTCACCTCACGAAATACTGTACCCTCTGCGAACCACTTTGGTTTCCGAGCGTCCACAACGGTAACGTTAAAGAACGATCGCCATTCTTTCCCAAGCATAAAAGTCATCATTTTCTGCAACAGAGAAAGAACACGGCTTTCGTTTTTATTTTCCACTAAAAATCTGGCGAGATTAATGTTAATCAGGAAATAATCACATTAGTGTAACTGTACTCGCTATTTGTCAGTAGAAATGTTTGACGTCCAGCTTCACGTAATTGTCGTAATAATAAGGCTGCTCGATCATCATACAACACGTACTTCTCCACGTTAGCAAGGATGATTTCTTTCATGTTGCTCTGCAAGATATTTTTACCTCAATCATAAAACAATCTGAAGAACGAAATCTTTTACATGATAGCCTCTCATTTCATCACATTGTGCAGTGACTACAGGAAATACGAACATGGTTTCTCAGCTAATCAGTGGTTCCTATCGCTTCTCCTTTGCTCACATTCCTTTTTTAATACGGCGCATAAAAGCTGGAAATAAACAACACACTCGGCCCTAATCTGTCGACGGATGAACACAAACTCAGGATGTCACTTCGGATTTCGGTAAACTACTACATCCGCCTTACAGTCGGAATTTCAAAAAACAAATTTCCGGACGAAATTCGTAGGAAACGAAGGTGAGTAGAGTAAAATAGGATTCCGCGAGGACAACTCGTCTTCTGTTGAAGATGAACATATAAGGAGAGAGTTGGAAACATTCCCCTCAGTCCTGTCCAGATATTAGATTATAATTAAACAGTCAAATTCTATGACGCCCATTCAATAAGACATATTGTCCTATCGCTTTCGCTAGTTTTTGAATTTACTGAAACATGAGTGTTGCACTACAAACAGACTTGCTAGTTCAAAGACTTGGCAAACAGTATCACCGTCTCGGCAAAGCTTGTGTTAGGCATTTCAATAGCTGAAATAGGTTCCTAAGCTGACAAAGGAGAACAGCAAAGAGCTAATGACCACTTTTCTAACAGTAAAAAGTATAAGACGCGGAATAGAATTACACGGGCACATCAATGGGCTTCAAACCTCATCAGCACGTTAATAAGATGAGAGATGAAGGCATCGTAGGCTAAAAAAAGCTAGCATCCATTCTAGAAAATGAGACGTCAGTGATTACCTCTTATCCACGCCTCCGACAATACCGATGTAAGATGAAGCTGACCGAAAAACATCCTAAGACACAGCAGAAAAAATAAGGCCATCATTGCTGAGCAGAGATGAAACAAAACGATACTAAGAAGGGGTCCTCATCATATTTTCATGAGTGGTGTGAACAACAAATCAGGATTGTGGAGAACCGTACGGTACCGTTCAAACTTGTTGACAAATGTAAAGAAGGAAAAAGTAATGTCGCATGACTGGAGCAGTTTGCATCAGCGAATTCAGCCATTCAGTGAATTCAGTAAATCAGCTACTGACAAGAAGATGCCGTGAATTCATCGTAAAATCTAAAAAGCGGAAAATTCACATGATATCTAAGCAATAAAAAAACTTTCTTGGTGTTGAAGGCGCCAAATTGTCCAAACCATGACATTATTCAACAATGACGAGAAAAAGCCCTATTTGGTGTTCAAATGCAGGGTGACTTCTTCACCTACGGTTTCAGAACGACTTCATAATGTTGAAGACTTGACTATAATATAGGAGTGTAAACGAGTGTAAACCAGCAACAGCTATCATCGAAACTGAAGGAATCTGATGGAAAAAATAGCGATTACGGACCATGACCACGCTGAACTTAAAATTTCCATCAAAGGAGTCAATGAAGAGAGACGTCGTATACACAAGAGACCATGGCTAAGGTAACAAGTGTTCCTCCTAGTGCCACATATTCCAGCGGTTCTTTAATCAATAATGAGTTCCTCGGGCATTTAGGGCGTTCGATAGCCTAAAGAAAGAAAAAACGTGGATAGGTGAACAATTATTTCTCGAATAACTCCATATAATTTCCGTTGGTGGCGCGCATTCTGTTAGACTTTACGTAACCTGGAAATCCTAAACACGAGATTCGACGAGTGATCTGTTAGGCAAGTTGAAGCTCGACCACGGTCACAAATCATGGTAAAAACAGATAGAATTTCAGTCGTTAAATCAAGCATGAAAAACACTGTAAAAAGGCATAAAACATGAAGTCCCATTGCACTGTCTCATTTGTGATCAAAACGAGCCCATAAAATTCAGTCACTGAGATACCAATTAAAAATTCATCGTGATGATAAGAGGAAGGATGAACTCGAGAGCTGCACGGGAATGTGGATGCAAATCAGCTGCTATGAACCATGATGGCCAACGTCATATTTTCAGATATTCATATAAACTAACAAAACTCAGTTTCATTTTCTATTTTAAGGAATCCGGTCCTTTGATAGTGTCTCAATTACCAATTATATAACGATAACAATACCTCTAAGTGCACCCAGTCGATGGCACTACGGCAATCATGAAAAATTGACTTGTATGACATTAGGACATCACCACCTCGCAGACCAGTTTTGTCCTCTAGCCTAAAACGTACTGGTCATCCATTCACTTGCAGATGTATTCACTCTTCAATCAATCAACAGTAACAGGAAAAAAACTTAGTTTTCTTTTGATTTGATGGGGATTCTCTGACAACTTTGCGACAATTATTTGGATCCAAATGATGCGATCTTTTCTAAGACCATTACCGATATCATAAAAGAAAGTTATTTTGAGTGCTTATGGCGCTATACCCTCCCAACGGCTCACTGCGGCGTCATTGTGGATAGGTTCCTGCGTGTCGGACTGCGATGTAGAGCGTGGTGATTCATCCGCAGCAGGGTCTCCCAAGCTGAGAAGGAGTCAGGCGTTTCCATCAGTAAGCCTAGCTAAGAGTAAACCAATACTAGGATTGACCACCGTCCTGGCATCAAATTAATCGCATGGTGGCAAATCTCCCTCTGATCCACAAGGGCGACGACTGAGGGCACACTTTGGGCAGACTGACCTCGGGACTCTAGGGAAACATAATGGCTAAACCTGCAAAACTCCGAAAAATGGGAATTATGCTGGCAACCACACAACGAGCGAGGATGGGCCGTCCAAGTATCCAAATAATTAAGTATGGCGCCATATTTCACAGTTCCTGTGCATGTCTGTCTCGTCTGCCGTGTGTCTGCTTTTTATAAGCATCTTATCGCTCTTATCGATACACCTGACTGTCGATAATGATTACGAAAATGTGCTTGCGAAAAAATTCCTCTCAAAGGAACGAGTTAACAAGAAAATTCTTTGACGTTATCATTGTCATCGTAAGAGAGCAAAAAACCATAATGACCATCGAAACGACTAATATGAGTTCAATGAAAGATAGCTCGCCGGCACCGAGAAAGTTCATTTTCTACAAAGCAGAATGAAATTCATTTTGAAGTGACGTTCAGTAAACCAAGTTGAATCCTTGCGCAGATGTTTGGAAAACCGTTCTTATTAAAACTCGCTTTGTGAAAACTTCGAAAATATTTTGACCGAATATTGCACAAGTGAGCTGAATTCGTATAAATTCGAATATTTAGAAAAAGACTACCACATTGTTTTGTGGTAACCATTACTTCAAGCAAGATGAAAAACGCAAAGCTACAAAGATAGCCATTCCAATTTAGGCCCTTGGAAAGCTCTAGCACGACTGCTTCAAAAGACCATTAAATCACTAATTAAACGGAAAGCATGCTACGATCTGAATGATTTTTCGTTGGAACGGGGTACTCAAGTATAAAAATATGCATCCTAAGTTTAAGTTTTTAGTTTAAGTTTAGTAGCAAGATTGCAATTTGTCACTGCACTTGAAAGAAGAATTACAACGAAGGCGCAAATATGTGATACTTTGCATACATCCACGAATCATAGCATGGAAATATTTTATCTGTTGTGACAAATTCCATCTACAGACACGTCCATTTATTACTGTACTGGTGGATCGAAAAAAGAAAAACGCACGGCGTATAATCCAGGTGGGTATCGAAAAAGTCGATAAGGTATGCAAGCAGGTGGGTCTCCGGCAAATTGAACAGCGTATTGAGTACGAACACACGAGACTCAGACAACTGTAGGTATCTGTTCGGATATATTTCTTCAATTTCTGCCCTAAACTAAATTATTCTTATAGTAAGATCAACTTTTGTATGACTTCAATATAGTAAACTGCTGACGCTTTCAGAAATTTAAACCCGTGCATGCCAACCAAGATATTGCCAAATCCATCAACTTTTAGAAGATTTCCATAGGAATAATCGAACCATAGTCCTGTAAAAAGCATTTACTGCATTTAATGGAGAATTATACTGTACTCACATACCTCGAACTGGAAATATGGGGTCATATTTGAATTTACGAATTCCTTCTGGATATCCTATGTCGATTAGTCGTTGTACGGCCAAGTCAAATGCTAAGATTTCGAGATCTGGAGACTTATACTCTGAAATATAACACATTCTATTAGATGCGCTTTTATATAAAGGTATAAAGACTATAGTTAAGCGTTGACAAAAAGAAACCACATACGTGGCCCAAGATGCAAGCGAATTCGAAAGATGGACACCCTACATTTACCTTGCTATAGTGAATTATTCCTCCCGTAAACATATACTCATATTCGTGTACACATGTACAGGGGTATCGAATGGTATGCTGCAGTGATCCAGAAGTATATAAAGGCAGATTGGAATCATTTCCAACAAATAAGCGTCCCGTGCATTTCTGGGGAACCGGATAATTCGCCTGTGATTATACCAATCTCCAACAAAGATCTACCTCGCCGATTTAACGGTCGTTACGCCCTATAAAAACACGAAACTTCACAGAAAAAGTGTGATGATTTTCGTGTCCCTGGTGTGATCAGAGCAGGTAAGTCACGCGACATATCTAAATGGTGACACTATCCGTCATCGAGTAAATTTATGCATAGAGCTACTGTGGATGGAATTGATGGCTGACGGTGATCCATTCTGACACTAATTTCCTTTGACGCCTGGTTTTACGTAGACCTGAACACACCGCATCATCTTCTAATGGTGGAAACAAAAGAAAACCTGGACCACTGTGCACTCATGGAAAGTGTTCGATACAATGGTAAGTCATCCGACTCGACTGGAAGACACTGTGTTGTTAAATTCTCGATGAATAATTAATGAAACATATAAAAAATTAAACATATGAAAAAGGCAAGAACTCACGAACGAGTGTATAGTCCATGTCGAAACCAAAGAAGTTAATCTTCTCCATACGAAGCGAACGGTTCACAAAGACCCTGAAAGACGCTGTATCGTCAAATTTTCAATAAACAATTAGTGACATTGCTGAAAACCCAAAATAACTAGGACTGATGGTGAGTAGTTAACACTCTTGACACTTTCGTGTTTTCTAAAGTTTGCAATTGCAAGGGGTCAAGTTATTTCCCAAGCAAATATGGTGTTCAAATAAAACACAACATAGGTAAAATAGTATGAATGAAAACTGAAACCTTTGTTCAGGAGCCCGTTTGTGAGGAATAGTGTCAGGGACCATGATATGATGCAAGCGAGATATCAAGAAACAATTTCAGGAAGAGTAGAAGTAAAATAAGAGCACAGGAAGCAACAACGAACTGCAACTACCACCCGCAACCACGGACAGACCGCCTACCAATAGTGCGATAAAAAGCGACACATTTCATCACCTCTCGCAGCTCATTCTACAATACTTTAGTGCTTTTCAAATACATTTTCCTCCTTTGCTTAAACATACTGCGATATCAGGATGGCGTTGATAATTAAGGAAAGAGAACTCTAAAACCGACACCGAATAGTCAGCTGAGTTCATCAAGTGCTCATTTACAAAAACAAAAAAGGTTTTCCCCACATCTCACTAGCAGAATTCATTAACGCTCGATAGTCTTCTTTGTATAGCTACAGTGTCTCTCTACCCAAAATTCTTCCAAAAAATGAACTCTTCTGCTGTTCACCTATATAATGAAGATGTACTTCTACAGCTAACGCTAAAAGGCAAACATACAGAGCCTCTCATAAACCATTATTATAAAACAAAACTCGATATGAGCATCCCTTGTTTGAACATTCAACGCATGTCGATGTCGATGATCGCTGCTGTTATGTGTTCACTTGAATGGAATTCCTCAACGACAACCATTTCCAAGTGATTGCTGTTGAAATAACGCAATTAGTGGGCAAAAGTATAATTTCATGACCCTGATTTTATCTATGACCGAGCACTATTTGCTCAGCACAATATCACCTCTAGTAGAAGTGCATGAGCAAACTTTGACACGTATCCGAATAACATCACACCCGAAATGAAACCCTCGAATCTTCCTAGACGACAAGTGTTCACTTACGAGTCCTATAATGTAACTTCAATCCGAGTTCTTCTTGTTAGAAAAGTATGCAGATAAGTTCAAAGTAATTAGCAGATATTAAATATTAAATTAATGATCATAACAAACCAACCTTTGTGGAAAACTAAGTACACCATGTAGAACATGACAGTTTTTGTCAACATTTATGACTAGGAATCTTTAACAGCAGGTCTGTTTGGTAATACGACTCTTTGTACAGAGCAAAATATCATAATAAAACTATTTGATGTTCGTGTTAATGATATGATAAGCGTGAGTCGATCGAAACCGCTCAGTATTCATCGATGCGGGTGTTCACCGTCAAGGGTTCATTCACGGATTGTGGGATAACCACTAAGAGTGCTTCAGAAAAAAAAAATCGAAAATTCAGCAAGAGGAAAGAACTACTGATGAAATGAAGGAATAATGCGAGTGTTCATGAATGAAAACCTTGACACGAAATATTCTGAGCATCACGTGTGAGAAGTTCCGTTGACCTCATCCAATCTTTCTTTCGCATTAGAAAATTGTATTTTAAATACTTTTAATTTCAAATAGTCGATAAAATGGCTTAGAGATTTTTAAGCTAAAGAGCGTAAAATCAACCGACGTTGCTTGTGTCGAACTTTTTGGTACAAAATTCCTTAAAGATTAAAAATGAAAAAATGTAGATAAGGAGGCGGTTTTGCACTTTTTTAGAAACCGATATATGGCGGCGGAATATGTGTTTGCATTCCTACGACAGTTTGATTGTTACAACTATGAACAATCGCCTTCAAACATTTCCACCTAAAAAAACTTAAGCATACTGAACAGCCAAAAAGTTTTCTATCTCATCGAAAAATTTCATTTCTTTCGAATACTAAAAGCACGATATTACTTGATACTTGATACTTGAATGACTCGTCCTCACTGGTTGTGCGGCCCCCATCATAATTTCCACTTTCGGATATTTGCTAGTTAAGCCATCGTGGTTCCCTGGAATTCCGAGGTCAGCCTGACCAAAGTCTGGCCCACGTTTTCACCACCACAGGCAGTCGCAGCCCTTGTGAATCAGAGGAAGATTTCCCACCATGCGACTTTGATACCAGGACGGTAGTGGATCTTAGTATTGGTTTACTTTTAGCTAGGCTTCCTGTTGGAAACGCCGGACTCCTTCTCAGCTTCGGAAACCCTGCCAGGGGATGAATCTTCCGCTGTAGATCGCAGTCCGACATCAGGGAACACCTGCCAGCCACGATGAGGTGGCGGTAAACCGTTTGGAGGAATGAAAAGATTATGTGACGAAATTCATGGAATGAAGTTACTTAGCTCCAAAAATTTTTTCCATTTCATGTTCTTCTTTCTTTAAAAGAATAGCTTTCTTACATTACTTGTGACGAATACTTTAAAATACACTTCTATATGAAACCGTACATTTTTTTATTAGAAGACGTGAAATTAAAGATGAAAGAAAAATAGCAATCTTAAAGAACTTCATTACACTAGTGAAAAAAAAGAAAAGGAGGACAACATCAGTAAAATATTCGCCAGTTGATTAGCTGTTAGGAAAAGCTCAAGAGATCTCGGCGAACTGATGTTGTACAAGAATCGTAGTGCTTTGAAGCGAACTCTAAGCTATGGTGTTCCGCTTTCAGATGACTTAAATCGCGATCATATTTACAACAACCTATTGAACGTTCTTTCAAGAAGTCCACTGAAGTTGAGCGAGAGATCAAAGACGCTTTTGAAGAATTTTCTTCAGTTAACTCTAGCTCTATTTAAATAAATAAGAAATATCCCTCGTCACAAGTAGAAGATAAATTACTCTCAAGCAGTATTAGTTCACGCCGTCATGTCGTACTATCAAATATATCTGTTAGAGATGGTGTTTTCAAAAATTCAAACATTTGATGTTTTTCATAAATAACAGTAAGACTTTTCGAATTCACATCAGCTAAGTCCTTTGGGAATGTAAAAAGCTTCTACAACACTACCACTGTAACACATCTGTCATGCTCTTTTACCAAGTTGCTGAGTGATTTATTTCAGTCATGACTGAATCAGCTGACTAATAGCAATAAGTTACAAATCTCACCTCTTAGCCGGATCACGTTTATATATGCGTATATCCTTTGAACTTGCCATATCCTGAAAATTAAGCCGTATTTTACAAAAAACGTTGACATTTCCGTCTTCCTCACAAAATTCACAGAAACGGGCGTGAATTAAGAGAGAATTCAAGCTTGCAATTCAAATCCGAACAATATTCTTCTGAAATAAGGCTGTGGAACTAGAAAATAAAAAAGAACCACTGGGTGGACGCAAATAGGATGACAACACACATTAGCGAAGGATGAACGGATAAAGCCTTCGGCATTGATCAATCCCTCGGTGATGCGCTATGCATTCAACTGCACTCATATCATCATTTAAATGACTGTATTCATATTTCGGTTATACGATGACGTTCAAGGAGCCACCAGTTTTTCAAGTCATTGTTTTTATCATCCAAGACAACTCTCATACTAATGTGCTATATCAACAATGATGGAAGGGTTGCTGAGTCCAGGCGCGGAAGCGAAATAAAGCACGTTTGTACTGTAGGGTACCATTTTAACACTCCTATTTAGCCATTTTACTTTCAATGATGTGACATTTAAAATTTGCACTGTGTTTGCCTACGGCAATAATGTCAAGCGGCTCGTGAAATGAAAAAATAGGAAACAAATAGTATTAATGGAGGCAATCAAGCCTAAAAAGAATTTGGTAAAAGGACCAGAAGATTTTCCACCACTTTCTTTCTTTGGTGAAAGCATTTAGAAAACACGATAATATCAAATTTCAGCATAAATCGGAAAAATTCAATTCAAAATGAAAAATACGAAAATCCAGATATGGAGTAGTTTCGGAGAACAAATCTTAACAATTTTCTAATAGAGAAGAAAATCTTCCTCAGCATCTCGCAAATAAACTGGGTAAGAATTTTAAATGACTAAGCGGTACGAAAGCAAATCCTGCAGCAACCAACGTTCCAAAAAAAATCATCATCAGAACATCGAAGAATTTCATAATCAAACATTGTAAAGAATTACCGGTTCTCATTCTGAATGACATCATAAACCTTGTGAAGTAAGAAATTTCATTCTTCTAGTTAAAAAAATTCTAATTGCTTACAACCACAATGATGCTGAAATATAAGCAAAATTGGAGATGGAGGAACAGCTTCGAACCGGCGATTACCATCTCCTGGGGTTCACGTGCTATCCACTGCACCACCGAAGACTATCCATGGGTTTCCACTCAGCCAGTTTTTTACCCTAACCGTGTCACCAGCAATCGTCCGTCAACGGGAATGGTCTAGCACAAATCGACATTGAACAGAGTTAAGCTGAAGCTGCAGTCAAAATCACAACATTTCACTTTTATTTACTCTTTATAACTTATCCATAGCAAGGTGTTATGTTAAATACAACAACAATGATGGTGAGATATGAACAGAACTCGAAACTCAGATAAATCCCGTAGATGGATGATTGCTGATAGCACCTTTAGGGTAAAAAACAGGCTGAGAGAAAGGCAAGGCCTCTGGTGGTGCAGTGCGTAACAGGTGAACCCCGGAAAGGGTAATCGCGCGTTCGAAGCTCACCTGGGTTCCGAGCCTTGTTCACGTCTCAGCATCACTCTAGTTGTATTTCACATCATACCCTTAAAGAAATATAAAATAGAGAGTAAATAAAAGCTAAACATTGTGATCTAGTGACCTAGCTATTTTTCGACTGTTCGACAGATAATTCGATAATTTTTATTTCTGGACTTATTACTACTAAGGTTTGAAAGTGTAAGAAGAAATCTAACCGAACCATAACCACCGAAATATTCCATTTCTCGTTGGACAATAGATGCCATAGGAATCGAAAGTGACTTTTTTTGCTCATTGAGCAATTATTTATGAATTTCTCGTTATATAGGACGTGTGGCTTTCATGTGGCTCCTTCACCATTCACAAGAAAATGACTGGTAAATCCAAGATTAAAAGAAAACTGAGAAAAAGAAGGAAAAACTTGAAAACTTGTCACCACTCCCGTTTCAGAGCTTAAAAACGAGAACAGTAAATATCTTTGTAGGCGTCTCGCTCATAATCCACAAAGAGGCAATTCGGAAATGAGTAATTATTTGCGCTTTGGCCATAATCCAGAATATTTTGAATGATCTCTTGATTAATAGTGAACAGATGGTCCATCAACAAGGAGTCATCATGGAATATGTTCCGTTTCATCGAAAACTTCATGTCTGTGCCGAAGGAACATCGTTGGGCAAACGCGCTACTTAGCGCGCATCGTCATCAGTGAATTACTCTCCGACGATAACTTGACAGATAGCTGATTCTCACTTAATAGAAAATATGAATACGAGGAGGAGCCTTGGCAAAAGATTCATAGCAACGGAAAGGTGAAAATACCAGGAAGCATGAGAGCAAAAAGTAACATAAAAAGCCCTTCTTTTTTTACTTAAATAGATCCCGTTAACGCGTAATTGCTGATAGCACCTACAGGTTAAAACACGGTTGAGAGAATGGAGAAATGAAGGAGCAGCGCGATGTGGTGATGAACGCGTTAGCCTACGGTGAAGGTAATAGTAAGTTCGGTCAACACCGCAGACACCTGCGGTCCGGACTTTTGCAAATATCTCAGTATCATTGTGGTTATATTTCACACTACACTATCCCACGAAAAACAATACGCAGCAAAAAAAGGTAACCTCATAAAAAGTACTGTTCAGGTAAATACAGTCGTATTCCGTACTCATCACTTCAGAAGATAAACTTTCTGATCCTTCTTGCCGAAAGACCTCTTTTATCCTTTCGGAAACTTCTGTACCATACTTGAATGTCTCTAACGGAAATTAACGAGTCTGGATTTTTGCAGCACCAACACAAAACACAAGAGGCGGATAGCACAGTGGTAGTGATGCCGATCATTTTGAGCACGGTGCTGGTTCCATTCCGCTCCGGGCTCATCAATCCTCTCGTTCCTCCGGGATGAGAAATTTCTACAGGACTTGTCCGGGAAAAAAGTCACCCTGCAATCCAATTGGAAACTCTCTGCTCTGGTTATTCCAGGACTCTAGTGAGAATCGACTAGACCAGCATTCTACGACAATCAAGATGAAATGAGGGTCCCCAAGCAGCAACTGAGGCCACGCGTTAGAGTTGGAAGACCTCAGTGTATGATGTATGCAAGGAAGCGAATCGAATATGAGTGCTTGGATCTTCACAGTGGATGTGAAGACAGGTTATACAAAATAAAAAAAAGTACAAACCACATTGAGCGAGTAGTTCAGCTGTAGAGAAGATGTTTAAGGCTCCGGGTAGACCGGGTGTCGCGATAACCTGTCCTCCTATCCCTGCAAGGTTGACAAATTGATAGATTCGTTTGGGAACAGATCCTTCCGATCCATAAGAAGCAGGATTGCTATAAAAGTTATAGGAATGCCCTTGCACGGCTATCCTAGGATTTTATGCAGAATGAATTCACATTCAACGTCAATTATAAACAAGACAAAAAACCTCCGTGCAACAGCCAACGCAAACGAAAACCTCGGGACGTCCGTGGAACATGGGTGCGAGAAAGAGTATTAAATGCAAGAAGAGCTGAGATGCGCACAAAATGTGGCCTCGAGGTCCTCTAGAAAAAGAAAAAAACAAATCACAAGTTGGGTATAGGAAGGTTGAATTCTCATCCTTCGTCGAACGAAGGCGACATCATTTTCGCTCTTAGTTGCATATTACAATACCTTCGAAAGAACCTTAAAATGGGTGGTATAAAGTGAAAAATAATGCTCAACCAGACAGACAACTGTTATTGCCTTCAAAGTTAGCGGTAGATCTATTTTTCTAGTGAGCATTCGTAACCTTTGAAAATCACTGTCTGGAGCATGTTAAGCTGAGGGTAATCCCCAAATATTTATTCGATCACTCTGCGTTGAACCAAAAACCCATTTTCGCTAAAAGACATGAAAAAACAACGAGGTGGTCGAAGAATCTGAGACTATTATATATTATTGTAATAAAAGCAAAAGATAGTGCTTATTTAAGCGCTATATAGAAGGTTTATAATATAAAACAATGGCCCGCTTCAATTATTATTTATGGAGAGCATATGAAAGCAGGTAACTAATTCAAGGAAAAATTCAGGGTGAAAAATCACCGTGGAAATTCTATGGCTGTATACATAATGTACATACCTTATTCTAAAAAATACTTATATTGGGCCTGCTCCCACTATTAAGTCTATGCTATTTTGCAGTAAATACCAGGCCAACAAAACTGTCCAAATTTTGTGTGTAATTTTACATTTTGTTGACGAGCAGACACGAAGTTGTTAGAACAATGTTTGACCGACAGTTGCTTACGTTTCGGCGGCTTCGCCATCCTCACGCTAGAAAGGTCAAACTGATACGCAGTCTGCTCAGACAAGTAATTCTATAACTAAATAAGGTAAAAGTCAAGGTCTACTAGTTAGTTCAATGAAATATTAAATACACCGATGCAGCAAAAAATGTCTTAGTTCTGTTCAGATCGACTTCTCATGAATTACCATATGAGACCTTTACGGTTGCTGCAGAGTGAACCTCAAAGCTGGATAATTAGCGCTTATATAAATTTCACAACACCAACAAGATAACGAAGACAACAGTGTGCAACGAGAATGTGAGGATTAAACAGCGAATTTAATGCATCGATAGCGCAGAGCTGTGACTGCCTATGACAGAGAGATGAGCGGGAAGGATCAGGATGAGGAAATCAGATCATCAATTGATGGCGATTTCTGAACCTCGACTGAAGGCAAATGTTCTTCCAGCAAATTAGACCATTCCTAGCGAGTGTTTTTACGGTTGTGCAAGTGTTGACATTCAAAGACATTGCAAGCACTTTCAAGCCAAGCGCGAGCAATATGCAAATGCCACAGCGAGGATATGATGGTATTAACAGGTAGGTAAGGTCTCTATAGTCCGTACCTATTCATGAATCGCAGAGTGGTTACTTTGTACAAAGAGTAAATAAATGCATAATTATCTGCAAATAGCGTCAGATATGTAGTAGTAGGTGGTAGAGACGAACACAGATAAATATAGAGAATACACTT